ATGAAATGATGTTGGATCTTATCAAAGGCTTTTTCTGCATCTATTGAGATGATCAAGTGGTTTTTGTCTTTGCTTCTGTTAATGTGGTTTATTACGTTTATTGATTTTCGTATGTTGAACCACCCCTGCATCCCTGGGATGAAGCCTACTGGTCGTGGTGAATAATCTTTTTGATGTGTTGCTGAATTCGTTTGCCATTATTTTGTTGAGGATTTTTGCATCAATGTTCATTAAGGAGATTGGCCTATAGTTCTCCTTTTTGGAGGTGTCTTTGCCTGGTTTTGGGATAAGTGTAATACTGGCTTCATAAAATGTGTTTGGCAGTTTTCCTTCCCTTTCTATTTCATGGAACAGTTTAAGGAGGGTTGGTATCAGTTCTTCTTTAAAGGTCTGATAGAATTCAGCAGAGAATCCATCAGGTCCTGGACTTTTCTTTTTGGGGAGACTCTTGATTGCTGCTTCAATTTCATTTTGTGTTATAGGTCTATTCAGGTGATTAATTTCCTCTTGGTTCAGTTTTGGATGATCATATGTATCTAGAAATCTGTCCATTTCTTTTAGATTTTCAAATTTATTTGAATATAGGTTCTCAAAGTAGTCTCTGATGATTTCCTGGACTTCCATGGTGTTTGTTGTTATCTCCCCTTTTGCATTCCTGATTCTACTAATTTGGGTTTTTTCTCTCCTCATTTTAGTCAGGTTTGCCAGGGGTCTATCGATCTTGTTTATTTTTTCAAAGAACCAACTTTTTGTTTCATTAATTCTTTGTATGGTTTTTTTGGTTTCTATTTCGTTGATTTCAGCTCTTATTTTTATTATTTCTCTCCTATTTGTTTTGGGATTTGCTTGTTCTTGTTTTTCTAGGAGTTTGAGATGTATCATTAGGTCATTGATTTGGGATCTTTCAATCTTTTTAATATATGCACTCATGGCTATAAACTTTCCTCTCAAGACTGCCTTAGCTGTGTCCCATAGGTTCCGGTAGGTTGTGTTTTCATTTTCATTGACTTCCAGGAACTTTTTAATTTCCTCTTTTATTGCATCGATGATCCATTCTTCATTAAGTAATGAGTTATTTAGTTTCCAGCTGTTTGCATGTTTTTTGTCTTTACTTTTGTTGTTGAGTTCTACTTTTACTGCATTGTGGTCAGATAGTATGCATGGTATTATTTCTATTTTCTTATATTTGCTGAGGCTTGCTTTGTGCCCTAGGATATGATCTATTTTGGAGAAGGTTCCATGGGCTGCTGAGAAGAATGTATATTGTGTAGAGGTTGGATGAAATGTTCTGTAGACATCTACTAGGTCCACTTGATCTATTGCATATTTTAGATCTTGGATTTCTTTATTGAGTTTTTGTTTGGATGACCTATCTATTGATGATAATGGAGTGTTAAAGTCTCCCACAACCACTGTGTTGGCGTTTATATATGCTTTTAGGTCTTTCAGGGTATGTTTGATGAAATTGGGTGCGTTGACATTGGGTGCGTACAGATTGATGATTATTATTTCCTTTTGGTCTATTTCCCCTTTTATTAGTATGGAATGTCCTTCTTTATCTCGTTTGATCAATGTAGGTTTGAAGTCTACTTTGTCAGAGATAAGTATTGCTACTCCTGCTTGTTTTCGGGGGCCATTGGCTTGGTAAATCTTCTTCCAGCCTTTCATCCTAAGCATATGCTTATTTCTGTCGGTGAGATGAGTCTCCTGTAAGCAACAAATTGTTGGATCTTCTTTTTTAATCCATTTTGTCAAACGGTGTCTTTTGATGGGTGAATTAAGTCCATTAACATTAAGTGTTAGTACTGATAGGTATGTGGTGATTCCTGCCATTTAGTTATCTTAGTTGTTTGAAGGTTTGATTGTGTGTACCTAACTTGATGTTACTCTCTACTGTCTTGCTTTTTCTTATCCTGTGGTTTGGTGCTGCCTGCCTTTTCATGGTTAAGTTGGGTGTCACTTTCTGTGTGCAGGATCCCTTGCAGAATCTTTTGTAATGGTGGCTTTGTGGTCACATATTGTTTTAGTTTCTGCTTATCATGGAAGACTTTTATTGCTCCATCTATTTTGAATGATAGCTTTGCTGGGTAGAGTATCCTGGGGTTGAAGTTATTTTCATTCAGTGCCCGGAAGATCTCACCCCACGCTCTTCTTGCTTTTAATGTTTCTGTTGAGAAGTCTGCTGTGATTTTGATGGGTTTACCTTTGTATGTTACTTGTTTTTTCTCTCTTACAGCCTTCAATATTCTTTCCTTAGTTTCTGAACTTGTTGTTTTAATGATGATATGTCGTGGAGTAGTTCTATTTTGATCTGGTCTGTTTGGTGTCCTGGAGGCCTCTTGCATTTGTATGGGAATATCTTTCTCTAGATTTGGGAAATTTTCCGTTATTATTTTGTTGAATATATTACGCATTCCCTTCGCTTGCACCTCTTCTCCTTCTTCGATGCCCATGATTCTCAAGTTTGGTCTTTTGATGGAGTCAGTGAGTTCTTGCATTTTCTTTTCACAGGTCTTGAGTTGTTTAATTAATAGTTCTTCAGTTTTTCCTTTAATTACCATTTCATCTTCAAGTTCTGAGATTCTGTCTTCTGTTTGTTCTATTCTGCTGGATTGGCCTTCCGTTTTGTTTTGCAGTTCTGTTTCGTTCTTTTTTCTGAGGTTTTCCATATCCTGGCTGTTTTCTTCTTTATGTTGTCTATTTTTGTCCTGAGTTCATTTATCCATTTATTCATTGTGTTCTCTCTTTCACTTTGGTGTTTATACAGTGCTTCTATGGTTTCCTTTATTTCTTCTTTTGCTTTTTCAAATTCTCTATTTTTATTGTCTTGGAATTTCTTGAGTGTCTCCTGTACATTTTGGTTGACCCTATCCAGTATCATCTCTATAAAATTCTCATTGAGTACTTGTAGTATGTCTTCTTTTAAATTATTCTTGTGGGCTTCATTGGGTCCTTTGGCATAGTTTATCTTCATTTTGTTGGAGTCTGGATCTGAGTTTCTGTTCTCTTCATTCCCCTCTGGTTCCTGTACTAATTTTTTGCTGTGGGGAAACTGGTTTCCTTGTTTTTTCTGTCTTCCTGTCATTGTCCTTGGTGTTGTTACTGTCCCTGTACTGTGTGTAATTAAGTATTTTCTAGCTTGTAATAATAACAATGGTAATATTGAGAATGGAAGAGTGAGCTGAGATGGAAAGCAAGAAGTTAAAGAAAAGGGGAAAACAAATATACAGACAAGAGGGAGAAAGCAGAACAAGGTATCAGACAAGAGAGTTTCAAAGGTATAAACAGGGAGTGTTAGTGTACTAATCGACAGTAAGCTGAACAGACAATAGAGAGACAGAGAGAGGATTGAAAATCAAAGATAAAAAAAATAAAAAATAAGTATATGAAAGTAATATCTATATATAAAAATGAATTAAAATAAAATGGAAAATAGAAAATTAAAAAAAAAAAAACCAAAAAACTTCCAAGTTTATATGCAATGCAATTTCAGTCTTAATAATTTGGATGTCCGTCTCAATCTCCAGTCCTGGAGTTGGTGCCTCAGATGTTGTTCTGTGGTTGTCTCATCAAAGGGGATGCATAAGGTAGACACACTCTAGAACAAAACTACACTCACACACACACAGAAGAAAAAAAAAAAGCCCCACCAAGTGTCCCCAATTCAAATGCAATACAGTTTCAGTAAGTTTTTTGGCTTGCAGGTGTAATTCGGTTGTTCTCTCATCAAAGGTAGGGAGAAAAAGAAAAAAAAGCGTCTGGAGGCAGTTCTGAGAGTGGTATCTGCAACTGTGGCTCGCCTGCCTGCTGCTCTCAGCCTGTAGCTGGTGGCGTTATTTATGCAGATCTCTGGGGTGAGCTTAGCACTCACCTGGTCCCACAGGCTTTGTTTGCTCAGAGTTCTCCTGTGCGGGGGCCTCTGCTACAGGCTTTCCCCTTTCCAAGCACTGGGAAAGGTGACACTGCCCCGCGTTGTCAGGCCTGTGTGTTTATTTACAGTTCACGTGGGAACTGCCTAATTTGTAATGTGCAAGAACAAACTACACAAAAATAGAAAGCTTTGCATTTGGGGTGTTTAGGCCTAAATTCTAGTCCCTTTAAAAACTAATTCAGGGACATGGGGCAGGATGCCTAACTTCTTTGAACCTTCATTTTCTCACCGCTAAACTGGGAATGATCCTTATTTTACCATGCTGTCCTAAACAAAATTGATATTATGGGTGAAAGAGTTATTTAGTCTTTAATGAGTATGTAGTAATTAGCAGCTTCACTTTAAAAATGTTTGTTCAAAGAAATTATTTCAAAATCCTAAGTTATAATAATGGCAAACATTTTAAAGATGCCTTGTATTGCTAGATACTTTGTTCAGAATACATTACTTAATTTTCACCATTGTGAAGTTGCTATGGTTATCATGGCCAATTTATAGAGAGGGGAGCAAAAGATCAAACAGCCTGCTCATGGTCACACAGTGGTTCATACTTAGGAAGTGTTGACTGTAGATTCTATACTGTATAGACTAATTACTTAATTACCTAATTACTTAAGAACCAAGCCAGATAATTCATTAGGTCTAGTCATTGACCTGGAGGTGATCGGTCTGCTGCCTGTTGAGACAGAGCAAAAAGGACAGTGTAGACAAAGTATAGATATACATTTTGTTGATTTTTTTTTATCTTGTAATAGACTTGAATGGGTAGAAATGATACACTAATGTAATGTTTCTCCAAATTAGAAGCCACAACTTAGACTTGCTACACCTGCTGGAGGAACTAATAAATAAAATGTATTTTCTTAAAACAGGTAAATTAGGGTAGCAAATTTTCATGATTCTTACAACCAACATCCATCCACATAGCTGTACTAAATGTAAGATGCTAGAAGCTATCTCATTGGGGCTATTTAGTCTTTGCAATGCAGTGTGAGGATGGGCGCAAATGCCTCCAATTTAAAATTTAAAAAATAAATTTAAATGTTTTTCTTTTCTGCTTTACATTTAGACCCCAGAAGAACTAGAGGATGATTCTGACTTTGAACAGGAAGATTATGACGTGCGTAGCCGGACAAGTGTTCAGACGGAGGATGACCAGCTCATTGCTGGGCAGAGTGCACGGGTGAGAGGACATTCAGAACTTTGATTTACTGCACAGGGGCTAAGATCACCTAAATGGTTGGAAGACATTTCTGAATTTCAAGGATTGGGACCCCAGAGATTCATGACTCAGAAATCTGTGCTGTTATCGGGGCTGTCTACAGCAATTCGCATTCTACACAGCAGGAATATCCACCACTGGTCTTGATCCATTATAACTCTCCTCTTTCTGCTATTTGAGACATAGCAGCAGTACCAAAGCAAACTCTAATATGTACAATGGATTTTATTGGGAATGAGGATCATGATTACATAGTTAAATAGGCAGTGGAAAGTGTCATGCTCAAATTTTGCATAGTGGAGTAACCAATGTCCTGAATAAAGCCTCCAAACTTGTTGGTAATACAAGAGGAAAAGGAGAATGGGAATCAGCATACTAGTTTGTCAGTGGCTAGACTATTGTTTCATACTCTGACTTAGGTTCTGTAGTATTCAAGACCACATTGGCTCAAGGCCATTGGAAGAGAGGCAACTCCCCTCCCCTTACTCTGTGATCTACCTCTGTTGCCCAAGCTAGACCTTCTGTCATGTGATAGAAAAAGAAATTAAGATATACAAGAAATATGCCAGTTTATGGTGTGGAGCAAGAAGCAGCAGCAAGTACCAGCTCTGTCAAACATTTTAATACTCCATGTCATTATCCATCAACATAAGATTAGCTATATTTCCTGCAGGGTAGATATAAGTAATGAAAGCAAATAGTGAGCAATAAACTCTCTAGGGATTGCATAAGAATCTGGCATTTCCCTTTACTTATGATCTTAATTTCTATAGATTAAAAACAATCAAAGTACAATATAATGGAAAATTAGATATTAGAATTTTCTGCTAAGTTTTACCTAAGAAAAGATAATGAATACAAAGATGAGATTGAGAAAGAGGTGGTAGGGATAGATTAGGGTGGATAGAAATTGGAAAATCCCATAAAGCTCACAATGTCTTATGAATTGTGAAAAAAGAAAAAGTAGGAAGCAATTAATCAGGTTAAAATAAAGAAGACTCAAAATTGTTGTCAAGAAAGATTTCATATTTACAACCCACTTTCTTTTATACTTTATGCCTGGATATTCTAACCCTAAAAGTCAAATGATCCTGATGATATAAATGGACATTGATAGGAGAAATGTGAAGATAAAAGTCAGAACATCAAAGACATAATGGTGCCAGGCATGCTGGCATAAGCCAGTAATTCCAGTTCTCCAGAGGCAGAGAAAGGAAGATCTTGAGTTCAAGGATAGCCTGAAGTCCATAGCCAGACCCTGCCTCAAAACCAGAATCTGGGGATGTAGCTTACATCTTACTAAGACTACTTGTCTAGTTTGTGCAAGGCCCTGGGTAAAATCTAGAAGTAGAATTATGCTCAGAGGTATGTGTTGCTTGAATTTACTGAATTTCAAATATACCATCTATAAACTATGATTAATAGGTTTACTTATCAGGACTACTTAATATTTTCAAAATTACAGGCCCAATGTTTACCATATAGTAAGTGCTCAATAAAGGATAGCTTTGATAATTATCAGCCGTTGGAAGAGAAATTCCTTCTTGTCACATGATGGTGAATATAATCTGCATGAAAGGGCACAGAGCCATCTTCCTTGAAAATTCCTCACAGACAATTTAATCTTTCCTAAAATGTTGAATATTGGGAAGGTCATTAAGCAAGAATACTTTGAAAGCGTGTTGGCATAACACCAAACTAATTAATCAAGTCAATTCATCTTCAAAATTAAGTAAAACTAGCATTTTTATGTCAATGACAAAAGGTAAATTTGAGTAATTCGTTGAAACATTACTCAATTCAAAGTTAATCTCACTGACTGACTGCAACTCAGTATAGATACAGCCTAGTTCTACTGACTAGTTTTCTGAAAGACCACCACATGTTAGACAATCATTACCTTGCTTTATAATCACCATCTTATCAAGATGGCATGATTAGTTCACTTTTTACAAGGAAGGATAGAATCCTAATGTACTTTTGTTTCACACATCCTTTTTACATTTGACATCAAATCAGAGATGATGGCTAGAAACAAATTTAAGATGGTTCTTCTTTATCACCTATCATTTCCTCACACTACTGTCTTTTTTGTAAGGTTTTTCAGCATGAACTCTGAGCATGGTCCAACACAGTAAAAGGAAAAAGTTCTATAGTAAACCAGCACTTGCTAATTTGTCTCTGAGATACATCATGTTTTCTCTATGATTAACTTTCAGCAAACCACTTTATTTTTTGAGTTATCTTCCTTTAGCCTGTAATTACATGATGACAAACCAGAGACAGAATTATGGCTAAGTTGGAAATAGAGAGTACGCTGAATGACCAAGATGATAGATGGATGAACTTTGACCAGCAAAGTGTTATAAACTCATCGAAGTTGTGAAGGAAGTAAACTTTGTCTTTGACAGAGGCATTAGTGCTTTTCAGCAGACAATCCTCCCCATTAATGGCTTTATTTTATGTTTGCAATCAGACAAATTTTTCCTCTCTGAAAATGGTAAATTAATCTAAGAGGAGATAAGCAGGAGACATGTTTTTAGTACTTTAGTAAATTAGGGTATTTATTTCCTGTATATATCCCTGTCTGCTGCTTATCTAAACATTGTGAGGGAAATTGGGAGAAGGAATGGGAGAGGGAGTGGATACAGATGGTGACAACATGACAACACATGGTTGTTATCTTGCCTTGTGATCCTGGACCTGGGATCTTACAAACTATTTCTTTACAGGATGACATGGTTAAAATTGGTCAATGACAACTTTCGAGAACTTTGTCTTAGTGACAACATGTACTTGGAGTCATATAGAGCTGATATTTTAAGTATGGGCTTGGTAAAGTTCTGTGGCACTGGGGCAACTTTCTTAACCTTTCCATGGCGCCTAACGATGTTAGGAGAACTGCATTATAAAATGTATTACAGGACTCATCATATAGCTAGGCAATGATTATTAAGTTGTTGATTAAAATGACAATGATGATACTTACAGTTTGAGACAGTAATTCACGAGAAGGCTGGCCAAATAAGTTAACCTTAAAAATGTTGATAACTCAAGCAACCATGGGAATTTTTACTTGAATTAATTGCACAGTTACCTCAGTTTTCCAATTCACTTCACAGCCCGAGACTGATAAAAGTCAAAGGATGGACTCTTTAACTACTTACATTTATTATCCTGTTTTAACATCAAGTAAGTAGAAATGGGCACATTAAGTTTTAGCCTTTTTTATGATTAATTATAAACATTCGTTTACTTAGCACCTTAAAGTTAAAAGTCTTGCTCTATGCTTGAGAAAGGAACCCTTGTCAGTTTGGGAGCCCATACACTTCAAAAGTGTACATAAGAAAAATAATTATACACTCTTAGGAGACTTAGTTTGAAGAAGAGATTCTTATCTATTTGAATGGTTGTGGGCTTATATCAGCGATTTGCACTTTTATTTTAAATAAGTGACGGTTATTACATTAATCCCTCCAAATGATTGGGAGTTCAGAGAGAAGACTAGGAATCTGGAGTGAAGGGTAGGAATCCTTATGGTTTCAAATTTCTGATGCCTAATGTTTGGAACCCTGATAAGCCATCTGAGGTCCACAATCTAGAGAAGTGTGCTTGGCTAAGATGCTTAGTCGCTGAAGAAGCTCTCAGACTGCCCTGGATGATCACTTCACACAAACAGAAAAGCTGATTTGTCTCCTTTCCCTTTGACCATGAGAAAATAATTTTCCTTATGTACCCTTTGTTTGAAGGAATGAAAAATTGCATTGAATTTGATTTTAATGTGGCCAGCCACTATTTTTCTCTAGCTAGAATGGCTTAATGTGTTAACATTTCAAACTGCTGAGTTACATTGATAAGACCTAATTAAAACTCATGTGTTGAATTTTAATTTGATTAACTTGCAAATTTTGCAGTTTGTGATCTACTGTTTATAGATAACCTTTTTTCAAATTCCAGTTTCAGAAAAGGTCAATTATGAATTTTTAAAAGCCAAGAGCATTTAAAAAATATTTAGGGAAATATTCAGCTCATTGATAGCTATATAAACTAAAGCAAATGTAATGACACTTGCACCCAAGTCATACCTCATTAAGTGCATTATGTGGGTCGAGTACCCCTAGAGTCAAAATAGCATCTTCCTTTGCAAATCTGCTTCGAAGGGACAGTTTTTCTCCAGAATTGTGCCCTTAGAATATGCTTGTCAGTTCTGGCAACTTCTCTTGAATTATGTTGATGCAGTGAGTGGAAAAATGCTTAAGTAGTCAATCAAAAGGTATTTATTGAGTTAATGCTCTGAGGAGGATGTGAAGGCCTCTGCCTTAAGGAAGCACATCAAGAAGGCAGGAGTAGATTATTAATAGAAATTAATGAGGAACCAAAGCAAGGCAGTTAATATTCAAGTGCTGAATTATACAATGGAAACTCAAGTACCACCAATGACAGAGAAGGGTACACCCTTCACTGTACAAATTAACCTTATTGGAACAATGAAAAATACACTGTTTTCCACATCAGCACTGAATACATTTACACTCTGTAAGTCTGGGTAGAGAGCTACTAGTCTTACAACTTTTTTTTTTTTTCAATAGAGAATATGCTTAGCTTACTGTTTGTGCCTTAGGCCCAGTGCTATCTAAATAAAATATGATTAACTCAAATAAGGAGGCCATATAAGTGTAAGTGAGCATTCAAATATCATGCAGGGATGGTATGAGAAAAATGTGCATATTTAATTTTTGTAACTCTAAGCCTATTGAAAATAAGTGGAATATCTACCTTGTTATTAAGACAGTACTGCCAATATGAATTTATGTTAAACACTTATATATTATGCACCTTCGTAATAAAAGTTTAGAAAAGTACTTTTAAATATTTTTTTGAATATAGAATTTTAAATATTTTAGCTATAGTATTTGTTCCAGTCTGGCTTTTTAAGTACAGGTTATAATTTGTACTCACATAAACTCATACTCTATGAAGTCACACATAGTCATGCATGCATAGAAGTTAATAGACACAGCAGTTTGTTAGTAAGACAATGCAGCATTTGAGCAGCTGCTAGTTCAAGAACACATTTATGTGAATCAAGCAAAGATGCACTTTCCTCTGAACACTTGAAGCATCAATATAAGGATGCATCTCTTGGTGGGAAGTGCTTGTGATTTTAAGGATCTTTGTCTTACTGGGTTGGGGACATTTATGCAGAGGGTCCTATGTAGTGCATGGTCCTATAGGCTAATATTGTTGTGAACAGTGGTTAAGACAGGTTTTAGTTCAGCTGGGCTTGAATTCTAGTCCTACAGCTTAGAAACTGTGTGATATTAGGAATTTAATTAGTCTGGGTCTAGATATCATCATTATTAAAATAGTGTTAGAATTGTTAAGTTATTTGACACATATAAACTTTATAGTACTTGCATACATATATGTGTACAAGGAATCATGCCTATCTTATATTTATAGATAATCATGTAGACTCTGGGACCATCCCTTCCTTTGTTGGTAACCAAGTAATATACTAAGAATAGGTAGAAAGAAAAACTAATGGCAGAAATGATGATAAAATAATGCCATGCAATCTTATTTTCATTTTTTGTGAACAAAACATACATTATTTTACTTGCTAACCACTATCATATTTTGATGTAATTGTTTATTTTTGCTATGTTATATCTAAAGAAATTAAGGATAGGATTCACACAGTCCTTAAGTCTTATCCCCAGTAAGGGATAGAACCTTGTAGAGACCATTTATTGCTCAGTTTCTGTCTACTTCTGTTAGACTTTAATTGTCTTCACTCCACACAATTCACTTGCATGGGGTAGATAGTCACAACTTAGACAGCAGTTTCCTTGAATAACTTTTTATTGCAAGAGCATAGATCCCCAAATCATGCTCTCTTTTGAAAACTACATGTATCCCAGAACCAGAGAAAGTGCAGATGCACTATCTAGAGGCTCCTGTCTGTGAACCAGGTTGCACATGGTTCTAGGAGGATGATGTAATGAGGTGATATCAGAACATTTCACTTCGAACCTGCTATGGTGTTTCACAAATGTGGTCATTTCTCATTTTTCTCGTAGTTATGCTGTATATCTGTTAGTGAGCAAATACTTAATCATTCTTCCTAAGAAAAATACAGAGTAAGGTTCCTGAAAGATACAACTCACTATTTTCTTTATCCAGTCCATATATAACTATGTTTAATGGGTGTTTCTGTGTAAACATTTTGTTTTTGGTTCACTAATATAGAATGCTAAACCAATAGCACTAATGTATTCATATTTTCTCAAGAAGGCTTATCACAACCTTCTTGTTCTTATAGATGCTAGGAAGCACTTCAGCACTACACTTGGATACCATTTAAAACAGCAAAATCACCAAGAAAAAGCACAAATATATGAAAAATGTGGCACTAAATAGACCACAAAAAGGATACTTATTTACAGTCTGAGCTGAAAAAGGAAGGCAAAGAATTGCCTTGTTCATCCTCATCTGGGAATATGCATGTTGGGTGACTCAAATTTTTTGCTGCTTTTCCCATCATTTGCAAATGACTGCAAAAGTACTTCAAGTATTGATTTTAGGTTTACAAATATATTTTAAAGAGTTTGCAAATTTGCAAATGAAGTCTGTGAATAATGGTAAGAGAGATGGTACTTCTTTCTTTTCTATATTCCGTACCCAGCAACTATTGGAAATCAATCTTTGCTTTCTACTTCTATACACTTTGCACATCCTTAATCTGAAAATCCAAAATCTGAAGTGCTCTGAAATTTCAAATATTTTGAACACTGATATGATGATTAAAAATTTTCAAATTTTGGATTAGGGATACTCAACCAAGAAAATCTATGCTGCTACTCCTACCACCCAAACTCCCAAATTTGAAACACTTCTGTACTCAAACATTTTGTATAAGGGATACCCAACCTGTTCTTTTTCCCATCACAACACCTCTGTGTAAGTACTTGAAGGCAGTCCAGGAAACCATGATCATCCAGAATCTCCACTGGGGAGGCGCAGGAGGGCAGAAATTAGGCCTGCCATCCCTAAAATGCCCCAAGGAGGGGATTTTTGTTTGGTATGGACCTGTGGAGTCCTTCATTTACATTCATAAAAAGCCTCCCCACCCCACTTGGATACTCAGATATTCTTTAAAATTCCTCTCCTTCCCAGCAACAGAAGGCCTTTTTTCTTTTTTCTCTTCTCTGAACAGATTTCAGTGTTGAAAGGGGTGCATTCTTTCATCTGGTAAAAGTTTCCTGAGACCAAATATAAAAATTGTCAAGAATAGATTCTTTTGAACAAACATATGTCATCAAAGAGACAGAAGTTTCTGTTATTGTCAGTGTGCATGTGCTTTTGGATCTCTCTGTATCTTTTATGTACGTGAATAGGGACAGAGAATTGGGGAACATGACCAGCCTGTGCTCTTGGCTTCCCTGCAATGGAGAAGACATACTTTCCAGAATGGCAGAGCATCCCATAAACTGTGTCAGGGTCTGACTCTGCCATCCACAGGATACAAAATCAACATATGCTCTGTACTTCCCTACCACCATTAGTAACACTTTTTTTCTGTAACCCACACAGGCCATTATGGCACAATTACCACAGGAAGAGAAGGCAAAAATAGCTGAGCAGGTGGAGATATTCCACCAAGAGAAAAGCAAGCTGGATGCCGAAGTGGCCAAGTGGGATGACAGCGGCAATGATATCATTGTTCTGGCTAAGCAGATGTGCATGATCATGATGGAAATGACAGACTTCACAAGGTGAGACCGGGAGGTCAAGATCTGCTCATGAAACCCAGACCTGTAGCAGTGTGTATTAGCGTGTGAAAGCCAGCTAAAAACTGAAATAGCACATCAAAGCAAAGTGGTGGTATTGTAAATTTACATGTATGAGTCAAAGTGATGAATTGTACTTAATTCCTGGCAGACAGGTCTGTTTGGTCAAGGAGAGCAGACTCATTTTTTTAATTGTTATTGTTTTAATTATCTATCCTAAAGCAATCATAAAATCAAACCCTGGTGGATTGGTGACTCATCTTTGATCTGTGCTATTTTGGAATGTGTTTAAATATTCTGAAGAGAAAGTGGATGATTTATTATCCTTTTGGGAAATGTGTGTGTATGCATGTGTATGTACACATTATAACAAGTTGTCATACTAGCTCATGATCTAGCATTCATTTCAGCTCATATTTTACCCTTTCATCCAATGATCAGGTATAGCAAAATGAGATTCCAGAATTTTGACAGGGAAATTATAAAATCATATGATTGTTATTCCATTTAACTCTGATCAGAGCTTTTGGTAAATCACGAGACCAGTCAGAATTTTATCAGGATGCTTTTCTTCACCAGAGGTCATTGCTGTTTCTGCCATTGCTTTTTGGTCTCTTCTTTAATGCAGGTGATAACTCTGTGTCCTTCTCACCACACAAAGAACAAACCAAGGGACAGGAAAGCTCACTGAAAAGGTCCCTAAATTTTGAGTCAGAGTATCAGGTGATTTTGGGCAAGTCTCTTATTGACTTTATTTCCAAAATGATGAAATGATACTTTTCTTATCAACTCCAGGGAAGTTTTACTCCAAAGAGGTAATGCAAGTATAAATTAGGCCATCAAACAAGTATAAACTATGATTTGATTGTATTTGTTAAATACAGATACATAAAGATATTTTAATGATTCAACATGGTATTTTTTATTAAACCAAGAAATATGGCAATGTTGACATGTAACCTATGGGTGGCAAAGTTTTTAATGGTTGTTGAATACTTCTAATAAGAAAAGGACAGAATTAGTTCTAAGTTATAGTAAAATATGGAACATCTCTGCATTATCCCCCTTACCCTTTGCCTCTGGCCAATATGTACTAATAACATTGCTTGACTCTTTTTCCAAATCTTTTTAAATTGTTTTTTACTTCAGTGAAATGACTTCAGTGTTATGAGGGTGACCTTTGAGACTTTTAAATATCATCATAGTCATTTGAAGTTCAAATTTGTACATTTCTTCATCTTTGTCAACTTTACCAATATATTTCACAAAATGTAATATTAGGAACAAATGTCTGAGCCATTCTTTAAGTCTAAATTTCCTACAAATCATATTGTCATGATAGCCTCAGTCATTGCTTCCCAAGGACGATGATGACTTAATTTGCTTGCTTTCAACATTTTATTAGTTTTTTTATCTGATGGATATTATGCAATCCATTAATAGCATCACTGGAACAAATAATCTCATTAGTTTAAAGTGAATAATGAATGTAACCATGTTGCTAGTTTAGATCAGGAGAACATTTTGTAATTCTCCAGTTCATTTATAACTCCAGTTTATATATAGTCAGGAAAGAGAAATCTACTTGAGGGCTTTTGTTATGTGATGTCAAATAAAACAGACTTTTTATTAGTCAAAGATACTTCTAAAAGTGAAAAGAAGGCTGGTTCAGTTTCCTAGGGATTTCACATAATCATTTTATGCCCATTTGAATAATGGAATGTCTAGAATGCTACTGGTTATCATTTTCCCCACTATGTGGGGAGTATTTTTGTTCCCCTTTGTGAGGGCAAAGGGAGGAGTATGGTAACTAATGAATAGAGAACCAGAGGAGGCTGTGACTTGGAAATGCAACACAGGAAGCTGAGGATTGCTGCTGCCTCCACCTGCAGAGCCTAGCCCTTGGCAAAGAGGCAGCTGACTAGTGCCTTTCTTTGTGGTCTGTCACCTAAGTTCACTCTACTCGGCCTGCACATTATTATTATTGCCCTTGCATTTTCCACTTCAAGGAGGAATAATTTCAGCTTCACATTTCTAAATATTCCCATTTACTATTTTCTATAGTTTAAAGCTGATTAGAAATTGAAGGTTGGCTACTTTTCTTAATTCATATGTTTAAAGTGCATAAAACACTCTTGCATTCATTATCTTGTTGTTTTAGTCTAATCACTGGCTAATTCATTAATTTGATTCAGTAATTTCAATGATATATACTCCATTATTATTAAAATAGGAGAGATTCTGTCTCATTACTCATGTAATAACTTCTTCATGGAGGATAAAACCGATTATGCCTTACCTCTTTTTCTTGCTCAGTTCTTGACTTTCATCTCATGGCAATGGCAGAAGCACTGTCCTGCACAGGGTGAATTTATGCTTTCCATGTCATTTTTGAGAAAGAAATTGCATGTGTTGTATCCAAATTCCAAGAAGAGTGCAGATAGCAACAGCTCAGTTTATTTCTTTAGCAAGGAGTAAAAGCTGTCTTAAAATCAGTCTTAAGTTTTAATCTTGAAAGGAAAAATGGAACCTAAGGAAAATAAACTTTTAGGGTAAAATAAACAATAAAATATTGAGCACTAGACTAAAACCATCATGTAATTGCCCTTTGCTTTCCTGCTTTAGTTTGGGTGCTCAGTACCTCAGCCCAGGTAACTCTCATCTGGTCTCTCAGTTCCAGTTCCTCCCCTTATCAGCCCATGCTTCCATTAAGTGGTCACCATCTGACCTCTGACCATTAAAGGACAACTCCCCAGCTTTCTGTGCACTGAAACTTTCGATTGCTTATTTTTCACAGAACAAAAATCCTTGGGTTTGCTCTTCAATGCCTACTTTTTTAGATCCTTATGTGCCTGTCTCAGTTTTGTACATATTTAAAATTTGACTCATTGCCATGAGCTAAACAGTTCAACTCATGGTTCTGAAGTCTGACCTGATTTCTCAGAATTCCCTGGGTGCATTCAACTGTTTTACTGTTCATCCTCACATGATGTCAGCTGACATGGGAAATTTCCTAAAGCAAATTTTATAGAGCACTGATTCTGAAGAGAGCTTTATGTGGTACAATACATTTGCAAATTCCCTATTTGCATCTCCATATTGGAGAGTTACATGTGACAATAACAAGTTAGACATAATGAGAAGGCTATAGAAAATAAATAATTTAAACTTGGACTAATTCAGAATCTAAATTCTAAGTACTGAGTGACACATTGATTTTTTTTTATTGTTGTGTTGGATGGAGGTACATTGAGCATTTACAAAAGTTCTTACTATGTATTAAATGTATCATACTTGAATTTACCCCCTCCACTGCTCTCCTTAATCTACCCCCCATTCCTGGAATAGTTTCAACAATTATCATTTTTGCATTTACATACACGTATATACATTTTTTGAACCATTTTCGCCCTCCTACCCCCTTTCCTTGCCACTTCCCCCCACGGGCTCCAACTCCTCCCCCTCACCAGGCAGGAACTGTTCCACTCTCCTGTTCTCCTGTTCCTGATTTTGTAGAAGCAAAAAGAAAAAAAATGGCATTTTTTGCTTGTTTGAGATAAAGGTAGCTAGCTATACAGTAAGTTTCCTTGTGACATTTCCATGTATGCATGTATTATAACCCACTTGGCTCATCTCCTCTATTTTTCTTCATTTTATGTAGTCCCTTTCTTATGGTGGTTTCTGCTAGTTTAAGAATTCTGTATTCATTCTTGTGTATAGTATATCAACCATGTTCATTTTCTTACTTTCCTTCTTTTCCCCTACTCCTCTTATATGTGACCTCCCTTTAGTGTGACCAGTGTTTCATAATATTGCTGTATTTGTATTAGGTCTATATTCCACAAGATGGAGAATATGCAAATTTTGGCCTTCTGAGCCTGGCTAATTACATGTAAAATGATGTTCTCTAGTTCCATCCATTTACCTACAAATGACAAAATATCTTTCTTCTTTGTGGCTGAGTAAAATTCCATTCTATATAAATACCATTTTTCTTAATCTATTTGTCAGTAGTGGGGCATTGTGGCTATTTTCATAGCTTAGTTATTGTGAACAGTGCTGCAGTAAACGTGGGTGTGCGGGTGCCTTTGTTGTAACCTGACTCACATTCCTTTGGCTATATCCCTAGGAGTAGTATTGCTGGATCATATGGCAGTTATATTTTTAGTTTTTTGAGGAGCTTTCACGCTGTTTTTCATAGTGGTTGTACTAATTTACATTCCCACCAGCAGTGTATGAGGGTTCCTTTTTCCCTCGCATCCTCACCATTTGTTGTTGTTTGTGTTCTTCATGGTAGCTATTCCAACAGGAGTGGGGTGGAATCTTAACATGGTTTTGCGTTTCCTTTATGGCTAGGGATGGTAAGCATTTTTTTAATGTGATTTTTAGCCATTTGGACTTATTCCATTGAAAAGGTTCTGTTAAGTTCACTTGCCCATTTTTTCATTAGGTCATTTTGGGGGAGTTTGGTTTTTTGAGCTCCCTGTATATTTTGGTTATCAGTCCCTTGTCTGATGTATAGCTGTCAAAGATTTTCTCCTATTCTGTGGGCACACTCTTCAATGTAGAAACCATTTCTTTTATCATGCAGAAACTTTTAAATTTCTGTAGTCCCATTTTTAAATCCTTTCTCTTAGTTGCTGAGCCATCTGATTTCTACTGAAGAAAGAAGTCAGTGCCTATGCATGTTGCTTCCAGTGTGTTCCCCGCTCTTTCCAACACTAGCTATAGATGCAGAAAAAACCTTCGATAAAATTCAACATCCTTCCATGATAAGAGCTCTGGAATAGAAGGAATGCACCTCAACATAATAAAGGCTACATATAACAAGCCTGTAGCCAACATCATACTTAATGGGTAAAAACTAAAACCTTTTCCTCTAAAGACAAGAATAAGACAAGGGTGTCTACTTGATCCATTCCTATTCAATACAATCTTGGAATTCCTAGCCAGAGCAATAAGATAGGAAGAAGAAATAAAAGGAA